GGTATATAAGCCGTGAAACGTTCATGAAGCTTCAGTCGGTTGTGTGAGCTGGTCAGCTCCACTCTACTGGAGACTTTCCACTTCTTTTGGAGGTCTTCCAAAAGGAGTGGAAAATCTGATCAGCCCGCAAGTCAGGAGTGTGCATTGGAGAAATCTGGGGTTCATGTGAAACTCACCGAACGGTTGCATTCTATTTCAAACCGCCCAGAAAGGTTGCATTCCATCCCAAACCGTTCAGAACTGTTGCATTCTACTGAAACATAGTTTGCCAATGTAGGTTTGAGAACTATTTTGTAACTAGGTGATGGAACAGACAAAATTCACTACTTTATTTCTTTTAACAATGAAGCCTACTATGCTAAAAAAAATTGTGTTTAAATCAGCGTTTTTATTACAACGGAAGGAGTAGTGGATAGCTCAACGATGTTCTTTCGTTTCACTTAGAACAAAGCCACTCAATTGAATTTCATGTGGAAAAGTAGATCGGATGGCCCTAAGAATTTCGTTGTCTATAGAAAGATTCTGTTCGCATATTTCTAGTTTCCTCTGTAAACGGTGACGATCAGCTTCTAACTTCTTACGGCTCTCCTTAGCGCGATCTATAAGGAGTATCATATGGTAAATAAAACAGGATTTCTGCTACCTAGTTGATTCTCCAAGGATAAAAACGTAGTTTTCAGCATGTTAAGCTCCTGCTGGAGAGCATATTGCGCTTTATCATTGCAGAGTTCAATGCCGGGTCTTAAACATCTCTGAGATTGTCGCGATAGAGCCACCTGATTGAAACTGTTGTTATGCATGAATAAAAATGAAATTCTACCTGCAGAGGACCACTCTTTTGCCGTAAACTTATGCTTATTTCTTCAATAGCACCATCCGCAGCTTTTATATCTTTGTCTTTTCCAACAACCTGGGAAATCTCATTTTTTGATTCTTTTTTCCATCTATGTCCAACCTGTGCATGCAGACTGTTTCTCCACTCTTGCCAGTTCCGCACAGAATCCTTTAGTAAAGCTTCTATGGCAATAGCCTCAGAACGGAGCTGTTGGGCTACCTCTCTTGAAATGTTAGCCAATTTCTGAGCTAATTTCCTGGAAGAAACACGTGCTCGAGCGGAAAAATTCAGGTTCTGCCCGGTGTTTTCAATCCATTCGTTATACTCGCTCATTCTTTGCAATGGCAATCCATCTCTTCAAATGGAATATTCACATAAACATTGAAGCAATATAGACCTATAATCTAAGCGATCGCCATCTGGTGTTCTATCTACGGCGCTTCGTCCATCGTGGCCCATAGATGCAGATTTGTTGTCGAGAACTATCGCTTCCTGTTTTAAAGTTAAATCTCTCAATAAATTCCTACGAGCATCTGAGTACAGGTCGAAGTGAAATTTCAATCTCAAAAACTAGCCTTGGTTATGTTCGATCTGTCTTTCAACGTTATGACCAACATCCTTCAGAGTTCGCAAAGATTCATCTATCAAATCTTTCTCTTTTTGTAGTTCCAAATCAATCCTATCATTAGACTGATCGCCAACCTCAAAATAAAATTATTATTTTTCTATGAAAAAGAGAAAAACAACAAAAAATTAATAAGAGTTAAAGCGCAAAAATGTTCGCAGTCAGCAGGATTCGAACCTACGCGGGCAGAGCCCAATTGATTT